ATCAAACGTACCGGATTGATGAGAATTTTTGGTGTTCTTCGTCGTATGGATCTAACAAAACAAAAATATATATATATACCCCAGAATTTTTTTTTGTTTGTTGATAGAGAGAACCCACCAATTTTGTAGCGTTGATTGTGACATCGAATTGTTTGTCGGATGAATATAAGTCTCTAATCCGGAGACTGAAGTTGAACCCTAACAAAAACATATATTCATAGCATAAAATTCATAAATAAAAGGTAGAGCATCACATAGCTTTTTCTTCAAAGCTAACACAACTCTCTTTGTAGCCGAATTACTCTCCAGTTTGGTATATACTCAAATTTTCCAATGACTTCCTTCTCAACTTTTACACCCTTTCTATTCATTATCTTCTACGGTTTCACTCATCATATTGATCAAATATGCCATATAAAATTCAAAAGTAAAATTAGAAACAACAATATTATACAAAACAAAACAATAGATTGAATATAATAAGTTACCAAATCCATTGATTCACAATGCACATAATAAAAACCAAAATAACATTCAAGTAAACAACAAAAGACTCACCATGGTCTCTATTCATTAACAGTTACTCTGAACTCCTATTTCATTGACATGGACTAAAGTAGGCATGTTAAATGGAGGACGAGAATCAAGGTCTACAGACTAGCATTGTTCTCTTAGTTTTTTCCAATCTCGGAGAACAACTTTACGGTATGGGAGTTTGAAGCGTGTTCTTTTACTATCCCACCTTAGTGTTAAAAAGAGGAAACAAATGAGCAAAAAGTGGTTTTGTTCTTTTGAGGTAAAGTGAAACTGAGTGATAGTTTCTGAACTTACCAATAATTGCTCCACGGTGCATATCTACATAGGATTCCTCTCCGGTTAGAATCTCCCACAATGAGATCCCATATGAAAAAGACATCGGCCTGTTCAGATAAAAAAAATTTGAGTTATGTTTTAAAGTTTCTTTTAGATTATACCGTAGTATAAATACCGGTTTAATGAGCTAAACAGAGTCGATGGTGTGTTTGCAGTTATATGAGAAGCTCTCCAATTCTCTGGAAAAGGTAGTCTGGACGAAGAACAAAGTTAAGAAATAAACTGGAACATGATGTACGAATGTTCGATCTTTTGGAACAAAGCTTGCTTTCTTTGTTTGTAAGCGTTTTTGCTTTGCCGGATATTTTTAGGATATGGCTCTTATGTATCTCTTGTGAGTCACTTGATATGTTGTTTATGTAAAACTTTTGGTTTGAAAGAGAATGATCTACAACAAGCATAATCGGTTATTTGTTATATATGTGGCCATGTTCATATTGCTTTCTCCACAAGCAATTTTCCAGTTTTGTAGCATTCGATATTTAAATTTAAAAACTTCAATACGTTGTATACATGTGTATGTATGTACATATATGAATTATTCTCAGTTGCACATAGTGGTTTCTAAGGGATAGATACTTGCTCTTTGTAACCCTCTCATTTTTAGTACCTATCTTCAGTGTTTACTTTGCTAAGAGCTTCTTGATAGGCATACATCTTTGCAATCTCAGATCAATATACTACAAATACATATACGATACAGTTAAGAAAATGATATTTCTCTTACAACTTTTTATATGAGTTTTATAAACAAGAGATCAACTGAAGGGTTACGCAGCGACCAATGGCGAAGGTAGAGACAAAGATACTACAATAGGGACGATAAATATGACACGATATATACAAATGAGATGCATGTTTTTATACCATTGAAATTTTACGTACATAACTACTTCAAAGAGCAAGATGACTTACTTGATAGGTAAGAGATATGGTAAGAGATTATATTTTTCAATTATTTGTTTCCAACTACGAAAAACTCCAGTGACATACAATCTAAAAGCATGAATATGTCATAAAATCAAGAATACAACAAAAACCAGGAAGATGGGCCCAAATTAAAGACCGAAACTGGACGTGGGGAACCCACAGACAGTGGCGGTCGTGGCATTACAAATATGAAAGAAACGAGTAAGCATGAATATGCCATAAAACCAAAAGTACGACAAAACCAAGAATATGAGCCCAAATTAAAGACCAAAACTGGACGTGGGGAACCCACGGACAGTGGCGGTCAGGGCGTTACAAATATAAAAGAAACGAGTAAGCATGAGTATGTCATAAAATTAAGAGTACGACAAAACCAAGAAGATGGGCCCAAATTAAAGACTGAAACTGGACGTGGGGAACCCACAGACAGTGGCGGTCGGGACGTTACAAATATGAAAGAAACGACTAAGCATGAATATGTCATAAAATCAAGAGTACGACAAAACTAAGAAAATGTGCCCAAATTCAAGACCGAAACTGGACGTGGGAACCCACAGACAGTAGCGATCGGGGCGTTACAAATATGAAAGAAACGAGTAAGCATGATTATGTCATAAAACCAAGAGTACGGGAAAACCAAAAAGATGGGCCCAAAGACAAGAACTGGACGTGGGAACCCATGGACAGTGGCGATCAAGGCGTTATATACAAATATGAAAGAAACGAGTAAGCATGAATATGTCATAAAATCAAGAGTACGACAAAACCAAGAATATGGTCCCAAATTAAAGACTGAAACTAGACGTGGGAACCCACAGACAGTGGCGGTCGAGACGTTACAAATATGAAAGAAACGAATAAGCATGAATATGTCATAAAACCAAGAGTACGACAAAACCAAGAAAATGGGCGTAAAGACCAAAACTGGACGTGGGAACCCACGGACAATGGCGGTCGGGACATTTCAGATATGAAAGAAACGAGTAAACATGAATACATCATAAAACCAAGCGTAAGATAAGAGCAAGTATAGAAACAACATATCTTTAGTTATCATAACATGAACATGATTATTATGGCCTAAGATCCTTTTTTAATATTAGTATATAAATTTTTAAAATTATTCTGTTTTGGTCTTTGGTCCCATATCGGTTGTTACTAATTGATCCTGCTAATATGAAAGAAACGGGTAAGCATAAATATGTCACAAAATCAAGAGTACAATAAAACAAAGAAAATGAGCCTAAAGACCAAAACTGAACGTGGGGAACCCACGGACAGTGGCGGTCGGGGCGTTGCTAATATGAAAGAAACGAGTAATCATGAATATATCATAAAATCAAGAGTATGACAAAACAAAGAAGATGGGCCTAAAGACCGAAACTAGACGTGTGAAACCCAAAGACAGTGGCGGTCGGGGCATTGCTAATATGACAGAAACGAGTAAGCATGAATATGTCATATAATAAGAGTACGACAAAACAAAGAAGATGGGCCTAAAGATCGAAACTGGACGTGGGGAACCCACGGACAGTGGCGGTCGGGGCGTTGCTAATATGAAAGAAACGACTAAGGATGAATATGTCATAAAATCAAGAGTACGACAAAACAAAGAAGATGGGCCTAAAGACCGAAACTGGACGTGAGGAGCCCACAGACAGTGGCGGTCGGGGCGTTGCTAATATGAAAGAAACGAGTAAGCATGAAAATGTCATAAAATCAAGAGTACGACAAAACAAAGAAGATGGGCCTAAAGACCGAGACTGGACGTGGGAACCCATGGACAGTGGCGGTCGGGGCGTTGCTAATATATTGTTGGTTTAAATATATAGATTTTTTATATTTAATTCTATTATATATATCAAGATATAAACACTAATAATTGTTTGTGATTCAAAAACACTATTAATTGTTGATTACTAATAATATATATCAAAAGTTATAGCATTTTACCATAATTCTATATTAATGTCGTTATAAAAATTAGACTCTTGAAAAAATTAAATCAATAAATATCCCTAACTTGATAACCCTAAATATTGATTACTAATTCTGGTCTTAATCAACATACAACCCCGCGCTGGGCGCGGGGACCTCCCCTAATATATATATATATATATATTCACGTTATATGGAAAAGTTCCGATCCAATTTGGAGTTGGAAAAAGCCCATTCCACATTAATGTGGGTAAGTCTAGCTAGGGTTACATGCGTGTATATATATAGATATGATCGCATAGATTTGGAGATAGAGAGAGACATAAATAGACGAGAACAGAGAGTTCAAATAGAGAAAACTCATATATCCCAAAACCATAATATTGTGTGACAAGTAAACACTTAAAACCCTAAATCTCGTGAAAGCGAAAGATAGTCGGTGGAAGCTCGGTGGTACTAACATATTGTGTCTGGATTCTGTCTGTGTGCGTGTGGATATATGTATAAAGCAAGACAATTAGAGTGCTAAGATAACCTTGAATTGTTTTGTTGCAGATTTTTCAGGTATATTCAAAATATTATGATCTAGGTTTAATTCAATATTTTACATAGCGATTGAATTTGTAATAAATATTTTTATAAATTGGTCCGAATTTCTACATGAACATGCTTATAAAGTGTTGTACAACTTAAAGACTAATAATTATAGCATTTAGGACTATATTTGTGGAATAATGTTAAACGATAAAAGAAGAATAACAATAGAGAGATGTTTTTATTGATGAGAATGAAATTCCTTTTGTATTTTTCTCATGTCTTTATAAAGTGTTTGTATTGTTTTTCATATTCACTTACATGACAATGAATTTATATTCTGGTACCGGCCCAAACTATTTGAGTGCCTAAAGCAAAAAAAAATTTGGCTCATTAAAAAAACTGTTATAAAAAAATAATATAAGTTTTAACATGTTTGGGATTCGAAACCGTGACCTGTACAACAAAAGACTTCAAACTAACCACTAGACCACAGTAACATTTTAAAAATTGATGCCCTTAAATCTACTTATAATTATTTGATGCCTAAAGCCCTTGCTTTATGGGCTTTAGCCATGGGCCGGCCCTGCTGGTATGTCACTCATATATCATATATATGTAAATTGTTCCATATCAACAATGAATTTATACGATCTTGTTTGTTTATTTGTAGACATATAAGTAGATTCTTGGTAAATGCCACCAATGCTTTCAGTTATGTGTTTGACAAGGCAACGCAATTATGGTTTTCAATATTTGATTGGATACAATTTTCTCTAATCTGTATTTTGATCGTATTGGCCATTCGTGTAAGAGCTTAGACAGGTCATAGGTTTGCTGAGGAGTACAAGGATTATATCTGTCTACATTCTTATTTTAGGGTTTAGAGAATATATAGATGTTTGTTTGAGGAAGAAGAAACCCCAATAAAGCCTTTTCACCCATTTTTAGAATTTACCCGACTGGTTTTTTTTCCTTGCCTTCTAATTGTATCTTTTTCCCTTCATGCTTTTCTTAAATCCATTATTCTTCTCAATCTAAATGTTTTTTTCTCTCTCTCTTCTCTTCTCAAGCAAGGGATACCAATTCCGGTAGGAATGTATTGAAGAAAGAGAGGGTTGGAAAATGGCGAGTGGCGGAAAGGGGGAGAAGATATTGGTTTCGGTAAGGGTAAGGCCGCAGAACGAGAAGGAGAAGGCGAGGAATGATATATGCGATTGGGAATGTGTTAACAACACAACAATAATCTGCAATAATAATTTGCCTGAGAGGTCTCTCTTCCCCTCGACCTATACATTTGGTAAGATATTCAGAAATATTCAAAGCTAGATTAGCCATTGTAGAGTTAATACAATGATGCTAAGAAAACAAGTTTTGAAATCTTACAGATAAAGTGTTTGGATTCGATTCCCCCACGAAACAAGTCTATGAAGATGGAGCTAAGGAGGTTGCTCTTTGTGTTCTCGGCGGAATCAATTGTAACCAAAACCGACCTTCAATATTTCGATCTGATTTGTCTTTGTACCAATGAATTTGGTTTGACACATTTGGTTTTGCAGCAAGCATTTTCGCATATGGACAAACAAGCAGTGGGAAGACATACACAATGTGTGGCATCACTAAATTTGCAATGGACGACATTTTTTGTTACATTCAAAAGGTTTGAACAAAAACTCTGCAGCATCGACATCTCTTTCTCTCTCTGTCTCTTATTTCTTCCTTCATAAGTACCAAACAACCACTCTTCTTTTTCATTTTCTTCAGCATACAGATCGCAAATTCACTCTGAAATTCTCTGCAATTGAGATTTACAATGAAGCTGTGAGGGATCTCCTAAGTGGGGATAATAATCAACTGAGGCTTCTCGATGATCCAGAGGTACACATCACTTGTTTTTCGATATTATGCTATACTCTCTATCATATTTTGTTAGACCCCACTCATTTCCATCCGCTTGCTTCACCAGAGAGGGACCGTCGTTGAGAAACTTATTGAGGAGACCATCCGAGACAGATCACATCTGGAGGAACTTCTTACAGTCTGTGAAAGTGAGTAACACGCCGGGCTTACATATATATGAATTTAGTTGAATGTTAACTAATGTATCAGTGTTGTTGCAGCTCAGAGGAAGATTGGAGAGACCTCCCTGAATGAAGTTAGCTCTAGATCACATCAAATACTCCGGCTGGTACGTACTCAGTTAATCCATCCTTTTTTCTTCGATTCTGACTTTTCATTCTCGCTATGCTAAACGATGCATTTCCTACAGACAATTGAAAGCACTGGTCGAGAATATTCTCCTGATAGCTCAAGCACTCTTTCAGCGTCCGTGGTATTGTACAATTACAATGAGTAGTTTGGTTTATTGATTAAGCTTTCTACCTTTTTCTTTTTCTGCTGAAATGTGTTTTTGATTCTTTGCCTCTCAAGTGCTTCATTGATCTGGCTGGAAGTGAACGAGCTTCTCAGACTTTATCTGCTGGTACAAGATTGAAAGAAGGTTGTCATATAAACAGGAGTTTACTTACTCTTGGAACAGTCATCCGCAAACTAAGGTTCGATTACATGACATAGTAAAATCATGTTATATCAACGAAGTAGTGTTTTAACAGACAGTGTAATTATTTTGAAGTGCAGTAAAGGTAAAAACGGGCACATACCGTATCGAGACTCAAAGCTAACTCGGATCCTTCAGAACTCTTTGGGAGGAAATGCGAGAACAGCTATCATATGCACAATGAGCCCTGCACGTAGTCATGTTGAACAGTCGAGAAACACCCTTCTCTTTGCAATCTGCGCTAAAGAGGTTACGACAAATGCTCAGGTCAATCTGGTTGTGTCTGAGAAGGCTTTGGTGAGGCAATTGCAAAGAGAACTGGCTCGAATGGAGAATGAGTTGAAGAATCTAGGATCTGCTTCTGGAGACTCTGACTTCTATTCTTTGCTGAAACAGAAAGAGGAAGTGATTGCAAAAGTGATTACACTCTCTTGAATGCTTCTTTTTTACATTGCTCTCCTTTTTCCACTAAAATATCTACTTAATTTTTTAAACTTTTGACCACAAACTGCAGATGGAGGAACAAATGAAAGAATTAAAATGGCAACGTGATGTAGCTCAATCCCAGGTGGAGAATTTACTTAAATCAACAGCAGAAGAGCGGTCTTCTAGGATGGACGAACAATCCATGTTTAGCTCCATGGATTTTGATGCCGATTTCCGAAGAAGAAGCTATGATTCAACAGATCTTGGAGAACCTAGTATCATCAATAATTTAACCGAGAGGAACTTTGAGTTTTTGGAAAATTCTGAAGAAGATGATTTCCTGCTAGATGATAAAACCCCCCAATTTTCGAGGCATAACCTGTATGATGGCTGGGAGGAGTTGGTTCAAATAACCGACGAAAGACTTGAAGATGCATGCAAAGAAGTTAGATGCATTGAACCTGAAGCTGAGCAGAGTATTAGACAACCAGCAACAGTTGAAATCCATGACTTATTAGAATTCATTGTTGATAAGAGAGCTATCTCTGAGGTTCTCTCACCTAGAAAGGAAGAAAGTTTATTAGCTCTAGAATACGAACAAAGCTATAACTCTTCTACAGGTAATGACAAAACCGAGAATGAAGACATGGAGATTAGCACACCTGGAATCGAAGAAACTCTATCAGCTCTGGAATACGAAATAAGCTATAACTCTTCTACAGGTGAAGAGAAAGCCGAGAATGAAGAAGACATGGAGATTAGAACACCTTCAGAAAGTGAAAAGGAAACTGTTGACTCACCAAGAAAGGAAGAAATTTTATCAGCTCCGGAACACGAACAAAGCTATAACTCTTCTACAGGTGATGAGAAAGCCGAGAATGAAGTCATGGAGATTATTAGCACACGTAGAAAGGAAGAACCCTTATCAGCTCTGGAATACGAACAGAGCTTTAACTCTTCTATAGGTAATGAGAAAGCCGAGAATGAAGACATAGAGATTAGCACACCTACAGAAACGGAAAATGTTAACTTATCTTTGAAAACAATAGATGTAGAGTTGTGTGGGAATGCTAAGCCTGAGACATATGAGCTAACTTTTAAGAATTCGGATTTGGAGATGGACCCATCAGTTGAAGCTGAAGAATCACAGGAATCTGTGAAAGAAGACGAAGAAATGAAGAATGAAGAAAGGAAAATGAGTCCTTCCACAAAGCAAGCTGAGCAATGCTTAAATAAAGAAGAAAATGCTCAGTCAGAACAGCAATCAACGGAAGACTGTGAATTGAATTCACTCCCTATTAATAACCAATCAGAAGCCACAGTCGAAGTGGAGTTAACACCCAATGATACTAAGTTAGATGAGGATGCGACATCTGGAGATAAGTGGGAGAGAAAACAGCAACAAGAGGCTGATAAAGATTGTAACGAATCATCTGTCTGCAAAAATATTGGGACAGATGATAATGACAACGACACTTACATGGCTTTGAAAGAAAAAGTTAAGGAGATGCAGAAGAAAATTGAATACCTTATGAGCATGCACACAGCAGAACAACAACAGTCACCCTCCTTCAGAAGAGAATATATGAGCCCAGAATGTTTTACTACCAAAAGAAGCCGAAGTTGCAGAGAGAATCTCTTGAGTGTTAGATCTCCTCATTGGTTTGAGAATTTGGAAGGCAATAACAATACATCACCTGCCTGGAGGGTTATGCAGACAAAAGCTTCACCTGGAAGACCCAACACTTCAAGCATTTCCTTTGATTCGGGGAGTTCTACCTCTATCGATACACGTAGCCTGAAAGACTATGATCCTGAGATGGGTAATAGCTTCCGTGAATTTGTAGCAGGGCTTGAAGAAATGGCAAAGAAGCATCACTCAATTGACTCGACACCGGAGCTAGATTATGGGATTCCATATGCCCCCACAAGAACCGAAAGATTGGAGATCAGACCGGACAGCCCTGCAAATAGCATTAGAGGAAACGAGAATGCATTGCCAAATCCTCAGGAAACCACAGATGCCACCAATAATCAATCAGAGAGAGAGCAGGCCGATGATTCGGTAAGCCAAAATTTTTATTCTCTTTGAAAGACAAAAACTTGCATCCTTTCTCAATAGTTTGGATGATCACAAATAACAGGTAGAAGAATCAAAACCTAAGGAAACAGATTCCACAGAGGCTTCCCAGGAGAAACTACAGGTAGCTGCTAATGGACAATATTCAAGCATTTCTTCAGACTTTGAGAGGCAGCAAAGGCAAATAATAGAGCTTTGGGCGGTTTGCAATGTACCACTGGTTCATAGAACCTACTTCTTCTTGCTCTTCAAAGGTGATCCTTCCGACTATGTTTATATGGAAGTCGAACTTAGAAGGCTATCTTTTCTGAAGCAGACGATATCTAATGACATGGAAGCATCAAGGTCTTTTTCTGCAACACCTTTTTAACGAGTCTCATGAATATCAATCATATACGCATAAGTACTATGCTAACCAGTTCCTTGGGTAATCAGGATACAAACAGTGAAGGCACTCACACGCGAGAAGGAATGGCTTTCCAAACAATTACCAAAGAAGTTTCCATGGAGCCAAAGAATAGAGCTTTACCAAAAATGGGGAGTGGAGGTGAACTCAAAGCAGAGAAGCCTGCAGGTGGCGCACAAGCTGTGGACCAACACCCAAGATATGGAACACATAAAAGAAAGTGCTTCTCTTGTGGCTAAGCTGCTTGGATTTGTTGAGCCAAGTCGGATGCCAAAGGAAATGTTTGGCCTCAGCTTGTTACCTAGAACCGAGAACGTAAAATCATCTGGCTGGAGATTTACCAAATCATTCTCTGGTATACGCTTGACCAGATGATAACCAGAGCACAATTATAAAACAGAAGTCTCCAACTGATCGTTTAAGTTGTGAAAGGCTTGAATGTAAGAAAAGTCAAATTCTGCTTGTACCTGATTGCGAAAGAATCCCAAATTGTAGCCCTTATGTTATAGTTTAGATCAAGGATGAGGGTGTGCCAAGAACGTTAATTTTATTTGTGTTCGTTTATAAACACTAATTTAGAGAGAGAATTTACAAAACAAAGAGAATTTCGCAAGCTCAGGTATGCTACATATGAGCATATTATGATGCAAGAACAGATCCCTCAGTGATTTTCCACCCTGACTTGGACCAGAAGACTTCGTATCTTGTTGTGTAGGTTCTAACATCTGTAGCATTGTTTTCTGGATGAACCAAATCAGATAGACAAGCAGACTCCTCCAGAGTTGCTTCCACCAGAGCACGGGTTCCATCTGCTGAGACTGTCACACTGTCAACAGATAGTTTCAACAGTGTATAATCATAAACCAGCCCAAGCTGCGCAGTTTCCACTGCTCTGTCAGTCCAAATCTTCAGCATTCGCCCATCCAAAACCTATAAATAACCAGAGTCATGAAAGGCACCAGACAGATTTCCAATCAGGTCAACAGTTTTCATACAATTGACTGAAATTGTGGATTTATTCCCATACCTCTGGTAACATGTCTATGCGGTGATCATGCCCAAAAGCCTGAGACTTAATCTTCTGCCACTTGGATACTATACTCTCTGCAGTCCTAGCATCCATTCTGGGAAGTGCTTCTGAATCATCAGCTCTCACTGACCCTAAATCAGAAAAAAAAAAAAAAATTCAAGGAAAGAAAAGTTGGACAAAGCCACACTTAGATAATTTCTAATCCTACGTTTTCCTAAACACAATATGTTGAGAGTGAAATCTACATTTCTGTCTACAGTATGATCATAAATTCAAGCAGCTTACGTAGAGAAAATTTACTCAGCAACTTGTTGGTATAACTTTCGGGACATGTATTAAGTAATTGAAGTTCCTGTTAAGGAATTGGAATAATTTTGAACAAATTCAATGGGAACTATGTTCTAAGCTCACAAACATGCTTACTTTGAGAAATGAACTTATATGATAACTGCATAATTTAATCATACCTATGGTAGCAATGTCAGATTCCATAGAAGAAGCCATATCCTTGCGTTGAAAAGATGAGCTGCTTTTGATAGGCAAATACTTCTGGCTAAACAGTGAAATCATTCCAATAGCCACACCAGCAGCTAGGATCTTCACACTTGCCTCCTTTAACATATCAGCAACAGACATGTTAACATTAATTGCATCAACGCTACTCTTTGAGACCCCAGCTCGAATTGCATAATCATTAGTTTCAAAGTTCTCAGAGGGTCTTTCAGCTTCTGCATTAAAGACGGCAGGCTCACCATCATGGCCTACATTGTTACCAACATGATCTACTCTAAGCACCGTCTCTTGTGCATCCTTGGGTTCAGCTGAGGTTCTATCTGCATAGCGAGAAGGAAAAACTTTCTGCAGTGCCTGCATAGCACTAGCCTTCACATGCTCGGCTCCAATCCTTGCCATGGCTGCAGCAGCAGCTAAAGGAGAACCCTGAACTACCTCCACTCTTTCCAAGTAATTCAAAACCATGGGATCATCATAATAGTCCCCAAGTTTAAAATTGTTATCTTTGGTGTCTCTGAACCTAGGAAAGACAACCCCCGCCAACCAGGTTTCCAACAATTTGCATAGCCCAGGGAGATCATCATTGTCATCAAGATTTGAATTCTCCAAGACAAACTCCACAATAGCTGGATTCCTATATTGTGAATCCTCACTGTCTAAGCCCAACCAAGTACGGCATTCATCAACTTTGCCTATAAGCAGTGCACAGAGTCCCCTTTCTAGACCAAAGTCTATCTCCCAATTATTCCGTGTATCATACAACATCGCAGGAATCTCCATAGCCATTACTTTAGCCTGCTGAAGTTGCTGGAATTGCTTATCAGCATCCTGCAAAAGATGTGGTTTCTTACCAATAAAAGCCTGAGCCACAAGCGCAAGTGCAACTTCGTAAACTTCAAATGACTCTGCTGGAATATTGCTGGGCGTAGCTACAAAAAGATCAACCTACCAGACAACATACATTAGAAGGAGAAACCTAAAGTTAAATCATGCTAAAGAAATAAGAAAAGTATCTAAATTGTATACCTGCTCAGCAGCTGTCATTCGTAAAAACGCCTCATTCATAAATTTTTCTCGGGTCAAACCCCCAACAAGAGCTGATGCTCCACCTCCTCCAACAGACCATAAAATATTTCGCACACCGCTTAAACCATTTAGTCTTTTCGCTGCATAATCATCACCAAGCGGTAAGCCAAGAAGCTCCAATACATAACGCGGAGTAATCTCTTCCAAAGTCTCATCAATTTGTGCACGTAAATCCGGAGCAAGGCTACTTGCTCCTTCCTCCTGCACAAGACTCAAAAACAAAGTATCAAATCCAGAGAATTCTTACAAGGCCAATGCAACCAATACAGCAAACTATCCCAAAACAAGTCCAACTACCTGCAAAAGCTTCAAAGCTTCCTCAACAAACTCATAACCAGTAATAAAATCAGGTGGATCCAAAGCCATAGCATCCCTCGAGATATCGAGAAACGCAAGCGCCATAACTAAAACAACATCCTGCTTAAACGACTTAGGCAACCTCTCCTTAAGCAGAGCTTCTCCAACCCGAAGAACAACCTCAGTCTCACCAGCTTCTTGCAATACACAGAGAGCACCAGGAACCTTCAGCAGATAAAGTTCCTTCCTTTATCCATTTCATGAATCGAACAAAGAAAGATTACTCCGAATCGAAATTGAAATTACCTTTTCCCAAGGAACATCAGTGATGACTGTAGCTTCTTCATCATCAACAAGACCTTCATTGTACTCTCTTCTAGACCGAGGATTCGACAGAGTTTCACAAGCAGCTTGAAGAATCTGTCTCCTGCTGATTAAAGCATCGTCGCTAAACCCGAATTGCGGCGGTTTCGAAACCCTAGCTTCGAATGATCTTCTGATTCCATCAGTTAAGAAATGCGTCTGAGCTCCTAATACTTGGTAGAAATCGATGGGAATGGGAATGTGGCGTTCGGGACGATCGATAGATGGTGGTGGAGAGACGAGAGTGGCGGTGGCGGTGGCGAAGGAGGAGGAGGAGGAATCGGAGGTGAAATTGAAGTCGGAGAGAAGACGGTCGGCCCATTTGCTGGCGGAGCAGATCGTAGTGGAGGTGTTGTGGCTACGTCGGAGCTTTGTCGTCGCCGGTGGAAGTCGGCATAATTGGAACGGGAAGAGACCAATGCCGACGTGACTCAGAGATTCCATAGGAGCCTGTAACTGCTGCTACACTACAAAACTTTGTTCTGTTTTCATTTTATTTTGGACTGTTCATATATTGAAAAGAGTGTTTGGTCTTCTAGGGTTTATGGTATGATTTTTTTTTTTTTTTTTATCAAATGGTATATTGATTTTGAGTGGTAAATTCTTTGTAGAATAAAACAAAAAAAAAAAAACTCAATAATTTCATTTGATAAAAAAAAAATCAGTTTTGAGTTAAGCAATGTATTTTAGAACCATGTTAGTTAAAACAAAATGAATATTGGTGGACTTCTAAACAAAATGAAAAACACCTTAAAATCACCAAATTAAGTTGGGTTCAAAGAAAAATAAACCAATTTGATTTATATGAGAATCGATTTCGTTCTTATTTAAATCCAAGATGATTGAAACCCGTAAATCAGTTCTAATTTGATTATGCGGTTCTTCGTACTCGATTTTGCTTATCTTCCGAAATAAAATTATAAATTATATTTTTTCTAAATTGGAATTATTGAAGATGATAAGAAGGAGGTGGAACAATCAACCTTATCGTGCAACTAAGAAAAAGTACTAAATTCTAAAGTTCGAATGTTTTGCTTTAGCCTTTTAAAACTTATTTCTTTTTGTTATTGCGATGTGAGGAAAAAGTTTGTTTTTTGTTTTTTGTTTTTTTTTGAAATGTGTGGTATATTCTTTAAAGAAATCGTGGGCTTCAAATATTGTGTTTGAAACCCATTAGATATAAGAAAATATGTTGGCCAAAAGAAGAACAAAAATTTAGTATCAATTTACTTTCTTGAAGATTTCATCAATTGCATAGTTGTTTGAAAGAAAGGCTGATAGTATATCTTAAAAATACATTAGAAGATATGATTGATGAAATTAAGAAGAGGTGCATTATGATTATTACTGTTGACCAATGTGGGAAAATGAAGACAAAACTTATAGGTGAAAAGAAAGCCAGTTACAAAACTCATTTGCTAAAGTCTGAGATATCTTAAGTGGAGTTCCTTACATCTATTCTAAGGCCATTTTCAGAAAGTGGAAGTTTGATCATCTCTATGTTTGCTTTGAAGCAGTCTTAGATGCAGTCATGGTCTCATGGAACCATCAAAGGCACGTTTTTAACCTTAATCAAAAACAAAAGATTTCTCTTTTTAATAGATTCTATAGTTTTCTCCTTCAAGTTCATTGCTTGCATGTACTTTTACTGCTTACTAGCCTTTTTGTTTTCTAAAAATGTCAATTTATTAAGTAGGATCAAAGGCCATATGTTCGTTATAGTTAGAAGAAGCAAAGACATTCACATTAGTATGTTTTCCATTTCATAGCCAATAGCTAAAGTTTTAAAGTCAAATCGACTACCATAATTATAACCAATCATATCTGTTTTTTTTTCCTAATTAACCTAACAAAGAGAAAGTACAGTCGGGATCATAAAAGTCGCATAAAACCCATGAACGCATTGAAAACACAATAGTTAGGAGTCATGACACAAGATGTTTAACTAGAGAGATCTACAACAAATTCAGGTAGAAGAAGAGAGACAAAGTCGGAATCAACATTGAGTCCATTCACTACAAATTACAAAAACTTACTTTTAAAAACAAAAGGGAATTTCTAGATTTTCAGACGCTATAAAAGTCTGAAGTCAGTACAAAATTCCAACAAAACCATCAAAAGAGAGACCGCGATTATAATACCTAGTTTGATCCCCACTGACTTAATAATGTTGAATCGTCTAAGGGTTCAAATGGTTGCGGCGGTTAGAGCGGACAAATCCATTTGCGGTTTGGACCGTTTTTGTTTACCATTCATAAACTATAATCCGTTGTAGTGCGGATTGAAAAAAATAGA